TTGTTTCAATTCAATATAGATACATTGATTGTGTTTATGGTCGCTCATGTCAGTTAATGCCGGGATAAAAAATAGGCTGCAGGAATCCAGTGTTATTTAAAATCCAGGATAACTTCAGACAATTTTAGTCTCTTCAGAGTTGTTCTGATGGGTTGCACACTTGGAAAATGTTGCGAAGTGATGCCCAGTTCCTCTCACCTCAACACAGCTGTCCAGTCCCAGTGTAAAGTGGGTTTAAAATGCCATATTGATCGTTTTTGGCAGCTTACAGATAATGCCCATCTGTGATGCACACTATCTAGTGTGATCAGGGCATGAATCCAGCCTAAATGCAGTTATCTTCAGTGTCTTGGGCAAAAATGTTGACTTGATGGTATTTTCAAGAATCACAGTGAGGGTGTTTTCCGTAACTTGGAAAAAAGCTGATTTATGGTTTTCTGTGTACACAGTTTCTTAGAAATGAGCAGCATGACAGAGATCGTGGCCCATAGTAGATGTACAGTAATACACAAGATAAGACAGTGTAATGTTTTTCCATAAATAGTGCATTGCTGAAAATGAAGGCATTTTTACTGTAACTGCTAACCAATGACAATGAGATTTCCCCGCCACACAACAGCAACCACAAACACGTGTGCATGAGGGCAGGCATGTTTCACAGCAAAGATGGAGTACAAGAAATGCGCTGTGGTCTTTAAATTGTTGTTGCAGCAGTGTTTACTTCAGTCCTTCTTGTGTCTGTGTTGGTGTCCACTGTGTTTATGCAGGGAGACATTTAAGAGTCACTGTGTCATTAACTTGCGTATAAGCTCCTAACAAGCTCCCAATAATCTCAGTCCTGCTGTCCTCTATACGGTAGCAGAGTCGTTGTTGTACAACTGAAACCGCCAATAAAGGAGAGTGATAAGATTTGGATGTACTTTACATCTTAGCTTATTACTGAGTTTCTTATAACGGAATTATGATGTTTAACCTTTCCTGAGCTGCATGTTACAAGTTCATTTAACAGTGGACGCAGTGAAATAACTAAAATGAAATAAAATCAAAAGCTTAGTTTTTTGTATCTACATGAGCACCAACTTTTATTTACTGTTGTTATTAGTTGGGAACAGTTACTTTGAAACGCACATCCTAAAATATTTGGGTATAGAAAGTACTCTTCCTCCAGCTCTGAGTCATGAATGGTGCTTTACACTAAATACTAAAGGAGCCATTTCTTGAACACTTCGTGGTTACACTGTTGTGTTCTCCGAAACTTGTCTGTGTCTGTGTGTAGTAACGGGTCCAGACTCCTCTTCTGGGCATCAGCTGCTCGGACATGGTGCTGTGTTGAGGTCACTGTCTTGTGATCAGAAGGGCTATATGACACTTCGTCTCATTGCAGCTGGCCTCCCAGGAGAGCGTGCGTGTGTCTGTGTGTGTGTCTTCCTGTGTGTATGTGAGAGAGAGAGAGAGAGAGAGAGAGCGCAGGTATTTTGGCAGAAATAGCCATGGAAATTGGATCAAAGCAGATGAAAATCCCAAAACTGCTTCGGTACACAAACTCTAGTGAAGGTTGAAACTGAACTTTACAGACATGCACTTGTCGCATGCTTGGCAGTGGAGTCGAGCTTAGAGCTAACCTCACCTCAGGGCAAGTTGGTTAACCTGTTAACACAATAAAATGAACATACTCTACTCTACTACTCTACTAGCTGTGGTAATCTCAAGCAATGAAAGCTGCTCAAGGGAAAATTCAGGAAACTAATATTTAAGAAAACGGGGAATTAAAAAAGGACAGCTCTTCGTTATCACCTCTCTGCAATGAACCTCATCCACCAGACAAGATGGGGAAAAAGCACGTCTTACAGCAGCTAAAAACAAACAACAACAGAAAGTAACTGAATTTTTGGTATGAAAACCAGATCTCATGCACCCTGTGCTTAACTCCGTACCCCATGAAAGCTCACTAGGAGTAACCCTTGAATCTCTTTTCTCATCTGATCAGTTTTTGTGTCATTTCAGACCTGCTTATAGAACAAAATGACTCTGTGTGCATCAGAGGTTAGTGAGGGAGGTCTTTACCTATACAGCTACCCTTGGAAAACCCCAGAAACAATTGTAATGGTTGCCAAACCATGTGTTTATTGATATATACTGAGGTCTCAGAACTAAGGGTACAGCAGCAGTCATCAGATGTCTTTATGGGATAAAGAGTTAAACCATGTTGCAGCCATGTCTTACTTCCTGCAAGGACACATTCAGTTTTTATACTCTTAAGATATTACTAACTGAATAACTGGAAAAAGTCTCCTGTCATGGGCCGGATTTTGTCTGTGCTGAGAGAGAGAGACAAGGCTCCAGAGCGGGACCAATATGATCTGGAGTTTTCTGTCAAACGTGACTAAATGTTTTCTTTTGCTTCACTAGTACAAATGACATTTAGCAGACGCGTGTATGTGTGTCTAACATTATACATTTGTTTTTTTCCGCCCGCTAACATTCTCTATAGAGTTGTTCTCTCTCTGCCTCTGTGTATCTGCCACCAATATTTCTCTTCACTTAATACTAAATATTCAGTGCAAGGCATGTGTGAAACCGCACCCTTTACTCATTCCTCACAACCTTAAAACATGTTATAACTGCCTCTGGACCTGAAAGGCTTAAGGGGACTGGGATTGCTGTATGCTGGACCTACGCAGAGCTTTGCAGGCTGGTCTGTGGGCTACTTCTCGTGTGTGTTCGTGCTGTTGTTGTTCCTATCAGGGAGAAGACTGAAGTCATAATGAGGGGGCTCCACTGCAGCCACTCTCAGTGCTTCCCATGATGCTTTTTGAAACTTTGATTATTTTTTGTATTTCTTGCTCATTGTGGTAAGCTCCAGTCACTCCCTTCCCGTCCAAATCCACTTCGCAATCGGCATTCTGTACATGATACGGTAGTCGGGCTACATGCTGCTGGGTTTTATGGAGGACAGCACGCAAGCAAATCTGCATAGGTTGCTTTCCTCAAACCCTTCACCGTGCACAGCCAAATGCCTGTGCAAACAGACACGAATGTGTTATCATGAATTCCGTCTCAGCCAAGATCAACATCATGGTTGGAGGTAACTGGTATCTTTGCTCTGTCCTTGGAAACGTATCTTGATCCAGCATCTCACTTCAAGCCAGATCCTACCGTATAAAGGAGAAAAATGACTGTGTGTCTTTAGGAAAGAATGGCTTGTCCTTTGTTAGTTTTTTTGTGGCTGAGATATTTATTTTGATGTCCCATATGCTACTACTGGAAAAAGAACAAGTTAAATTTACAGGATGCCTTAGTGTGTATGAGAACATGGAGAAAAGGGAATACTTCAAATTTATTTTTGTGGTGCCAAAAAATGAATAATCTTCCTCTCTTCCTCTTTTTTGGGGTATGTCATTGTTGTATAATTGTACTTGCTGCCCTGTTTCCACCTTTTCACAAGGTCTCGCTGCCCCCCAAGGTGATAATAATTGTGCTCATTCTCGTGTGATCCAGATGTCCTGTTGATACCGTCCAGAAGATGCAGAGGGGAGCAGTTACGTCAACAAGGCTTGACGATGGCCAGTTCTAACAATAGATTTCCAGGGCTTAAAATACCTCGTAGACTCACACGTTCCAAACAGATGCTTACATACATGAGAGGGGGGGTGATTTTTGTTTCAGTCTTGTTTTGATGCTCTGTAAAATTATCTATTTAAACTAAACAAACATGGTCAATCAGGCTGGATAAGTCAACTGTTTTCATTTAATTAGGAATTTTGTTTTTCAAGCTTCTTTTATTTTTATTTAACCAATTTAAGATACTCTTAGTATATCTCGCGACTATTAGAACTGAAATAGCAGTTGTGTATGTGGGGCTCAGTGCTGTTATCAAATAAAGTGTGATTTTAAAAAAAACAACACCAACTCTGCCCACCTGACACGTTGTTTTTGTAAGTTGCCAAATTTAGTGAACACATGAACTCTACCAAGTGCCAATGTTTGTCACAGTTTGTACAATACCTTTGAAAGGAAAGTTCACACACCAATGCACCATATAAGCTGGATGAATGCCACACTTGCTGCCCTGTGCTCTCTCAGGAGCCCCTACGTCCGCTCTTCCTCACTTCCCCTTCCTGTCTGCTCCAGGAAGTTGGCCTTGCCAGGCTTCAGGTGGCCTCATCTTCATGGCTAAAAGGAGTACTCGAAATAGTACTTCACAGAATTTGACAAATGAGTTGGTGTGTGAGTGTGTGTCTGAGTGTGTGTGTGTGTGATCACAGCATAGTTTTCATGTACTCTGTCCACACTTGTCTAGCAGAAGCAGAAGCTGTGTTTTGGGGCATCCCCATTAGCTTTGCTTGATTAAGTCATTAAAGTCATCTACCCACTCCTAAGTGGCGGAGCAAAGCTCCTGTCACAAATTATCACAGTCCGCATTGCCGGAGCTATTGTCGAGGGGCTCAGCAGTTACGCAAGCATTACGCTTGCAGTCGAAGGTCACGGTGTGGGTCACGTTATCCAAATAAGCTGGAAATCAGGAATAACACAGTCTGACAGCACACTTGCCGACCAATCACCTCAAGAAGTGTCGGTGTCCCCTGTTAGTTTTCATTTTTAGTTGTCTTTAAGTTATTTTTTTAAATGGGTAAAGTCTCCTGGGCTGCATGCCCTTAGTCCCTTTGTTGGTAATTTACTTGGCTTGTTACTGTTCTTTGATTATTGTGTCATCACAGCAATATTGTTAAGACACTGTGACTGTGCCCTAGATTTGTTGTCTGTAATTTAGGTGTCGGCATATTACCGTTGTCATGAGTGCTTTAGAGACATAAGAGCTGACAAACATATTGTATGTTTTAAAACGCATTCTCTCCTCCTCTGCTAACCGTTATTGTTTCTGCTTTTTTTCTCTGTCTTGTTTCTTTTTTTAAACTCACCCTCTTCACCACTTCGCCATCTCTCTTTCTCCCATCATTCATCTCCTTCCATCTCTTTTTTTCTCGCGTCTCTGTCTCCAGGTGGCTATAAAAATAGTGGATAAGACCCAGCTGGACGAGGAGAACCTGAAAAAGATCTTCAGAGAGGTGCAAATCATGAAGTTGCTGAAGCACCCCCACATCATCCGCCTCTACCAGGTACACAGTCACTCTCACCCACAGAGCCTTTTAACACATCTCTGCTCACTTCTTCCACCCGGGACCTGTGGCCAAATGTGAGCAAATAGATGATTGAAGTGTAGAAGAATCCAGATGTTACCAGACATTGTTTTCTGGGGGTGTTGACAGTTCAATTATAAAATGTACCTGAAAAAGTCTCAAAAGTATTGGAGGGTGTGGGGGGAAGTGGGGGGGCAGTACAACTACAACCTTCTGCCCAAAACCTCACTCTAGTGAGACTCGGTGATAGAAATTTAGAGGTGAGAGTTTTGTTTGTTTTCATACTTTTCCAAGTGTATGAGGATTGTAACACCCTACCAGTGTCCCAGCACCTGATCTGAAATAGCCCCCAGCAATTTGAAGGCACGCTTTTTTATCACGTTACCATAAATTTTAACAATCTGATCCTCACACACGCATAGGTTGATCAGTACACTTAAGTACATGGCTGTTTTTGTTCTATTTACATCTTTCTTGTTTGTATGCCAAACCGTGCTTAGTCATTCAGTTATGTAACGCATGAACTGCCCATGACTAGATGTTGGCCTGTGAGAGGGTCTGCAGGTCCTGGTTTTTATCATTTGTTTATATCTTTAGGTGATGGAGACGGAGAGGATGATCTATTTGGTAACAGAGTACGCTAGCGGTGGAGAGATATTCGGTAAGGAAGTCCCCCACTGTCACCTTATAATGTAGATTCTCTGTCGTTGACTTTCTCTTACTTTGATTTTTAAATGTGTCAACATACATAAAACAAAATTGTAATCTAATTACAGAGTGCATCCAGGTCCTGTAAAAGTTATAGATAAACACAGACTGAAACGTTTTGTGTTAAATTCAGGAACTTTTTCCACACACAGTACCGCTGCTTTCACGACTGCACTGTGATCACGTAATGCAGTTGTAGCATTTGGGCTCTGCTACTTTGGAACTCCAAGTTGAATTTAAATGCTGATCTAAGTGGGCTGATATCAGCTATGAATAACTGTGTTATTAAGTAAAATCTTTCTTTTTTTAATAACTTCTTTAAGCTTTTCTCTTTTTTAATATATGTGTAAAAACAGCTAATGGGGAGTAGAAGCATTATCTAACAGTTGAAACTTAATGTGGGGGAAAAAACAAAACTGAAATTCAATGTGTTCAGAGGGGAAAGAGGTTCAGTTTAGTGCTTCACTGCCAGAAAGTCTGATGAAAAAGGTAATGGTGATTAAAAGGGGCCTTTGCTAGCTAGTCTCAGACATGGGAAGATGCAAGTTTAAGACTAATTGTGTATTTTACTAAACAATGTTAAGTCAGTGTTTGGAAATGCAGATAAATCAAAATAACATTGAAGACCATTAAGGACAACATCGAGATTTTTCTCTTTAATAAACACAAGTTTCTTAACGTCAGTCAAAAGCTTTTATTTTACTTTAATGTTCATGTTGAATGTAAATCAATGTGTTTGATGTGTTTCCAATGTAGCTTTGGTATTAAATGTCCTTTAAAGTGGAATTAAAAAGGTTTTAGAGTCTAATTTATTTAAATCTGCAGACTCTCTGTAATTAAAATGAAAGTTTTTCCTGTAAAAATGAAATGAAATTCCCTCTCTGTGCTTTAAAATCCCAGATCCCACCAAAGCTGTACACTTTAATGTTCACCTGGCCAGTCTTGGGAATTAATTTAAGGACATTTGTAGCACAGGATCTTGTACATGAACAGGTAGACAGTAGAAACACTGTGTTCCCTTCCTAAATCCAGCAATTGTGTTTTGTTTGGATGTACAGACCACCTGGTGGCTCACGGACGAATGGCAGAAAAAGATGCCAGGAAGAAGTTCAAGCAGATCGTGGCAGCGGTTCATTTCTGTCACTGCCGCAGCATTGTCCACAGAGACCTGAAGGCAGAGAATCTGCTACTGGACCACAACCTCAACATCAAAATCGCAGGTGTGTGCGCGCACGTGTGTGTTTGCACTGAAGAGCGAATGGGTGGGTAGGTTAAATTTAGTGGTGGATGTGGATGCAGGCAAGTGTCAGCATGTACTTAGGGAGCATTTTTCTGTTTTGAACAAAATGTTTATTCTGTCAAGGCAACTGGTGAGATTAAATCAACCTCTTGTCTGCCCTGTCAGATTTTGGTTTCAGCAACATGTTTTCTCGAGGCCAGCTATTGAAGACATGGTGTGGCAGCCCTCCCTATGCTGCTCCTGAACTATTTGAGGGAAAGGAGTATGACGGTCCCAAAGTAGATATATGGGTGAGTCGACTTTTAGGTACGCAGAAGGCCCTGCTGGGCTCAAACGTGGGGTGTGGCTAGCTGACTTGAATGTTCCAGGTACGGCTGAATTGAAAAGAAAAAGAAAAACACAGACGACCACATTTCTTAAATAATACACAGAGCTCTGGAAAAAATTAATAAATGAATGGTTTTCAAATTGTTCAAAGTGATGTGCTCACAGCTGTTTTCCCTCTCCTCTGTGTAGAGCTTAGGTGTGGTGTTATACGTGCTGGTGTGCGGCGCCCTGCCCTTTGATGGCAGCACTCTACAAAATTTGCGGGCACGTGTCCTCAGTGGAAAGTTCCGCATCCCTTTCTTCATGTCCACAGGTGGGACTGCAGTCAACTCTTATTCTTCTCCATGTTTTTAATCAGACAAAACAAATTTACCTTTGTTCCGCGTGACGTACTCGGTAAAGACTTTTAACAGCTGCCGCTGAAGTCCAAGCCTGGCCAGCTTTTGATTTTCAAAAGTTTCTTTTGGAAAAAGCATTTTATGTTGTATGAGAGGAAAGAATAAAATTGGACTAACAGAAACTAAATTAATAAATTAATAATTATCTCTTTTTTTTTAACAATGCAAATCATTTTAGCCTTTTCTGATCGTTTGTCACCACATGAAAGATTTAGGCTTATTAGTTAAATATTTGAACTATTATACTCTGATATAAATGCATATCATGTATGCTTATGTGTTGTTACAGACTGTGAGTACTTAATTAGACACATGTTAGTACTGGAGCCCAGCAGACGGTTGACCATGGAGCAGATCTGTAAGAACAAGTGGATGAGACAGGGGGACCCAGACCCAGATTTTGACCGGGTGAGACCTTTTTAAAAGAATTTCACAAAGTCATTCTTTCTGTTCTTCGTGTGTGTGTGTCTGTGTGTCTGTGTGTGTGTGTGTGTGTGCGCGCGCGCTTTTTTCTGTTACAGTTTCAGTATAATATGTTGATTTGGCAAAACTCTTGCCAGAAAGCAGAGTTTTTGCAAAAATGACTCACCCCATCATTTAGTGGCTACTCTGTGTTACACGAATAACATATTTAATTTGCCAGATAATTTGGTTGCACTAAAGATGATTGAAAGCTGAATGAGAATGAACCCCAGAGTTATTAAATATTATGTTAAATATAGTTACTGTCAGGCACCAGTTAAGCTTAACAGCTAGCCTTGAACTAGCCCTCTTTAATCCCTTTGCAAGGAATCATTCATTTAAAGTTACTTTGCATCATTAGGAACTGAATATGCACATTATCTAAAAATGTTAAACTCATTTATAAAAGTTAAATTTATAGTTCAGCTTTAGATAATGGTTTAACAACATGAAAGAACGTACTTTTTATAAACATTTATAAACATTTATGTCTTTAACTTTGGTAATGGTTAATAAGTAGTTTGTGGTTCATCAAATAAGCCTTTTTATGGATGGTTATAAAAGTGTCACTGGTCTTTGCAACACCTGTTTTTAAGAGATTATACAGATGAGGACAGAATTACTGGCTCCCCTTATTTTGCACACAGAATTAAAGTTATTTCATAAAAACCAAAAACTACCAGGCTCAGAATTATTGTGCACTTACAATAATAATATTAGCGATGACCCAGACTCAGTTTTGCTGCTGACTACACAAGGTTTTCTTTCTGAATCTTCACATATCCTTCCTTCTTTATGATTCCTTCCATCTTGATGAGATTCCCTATTACAGACCAACTGGAGCATCCCCACAGCATAATACTCCCACCATTGTGTTTCACTATGGGGGGAGTAAACGCCCATCTCTATGGGATAAAAGCTCTAGCTTCATGTCATCTGACCAAAGGACCAATCTCCAGCATCCATCCATCCATTCACTTCCGGAGTACCCAGAGGGAATCCATGCAAACACGGGGAGAACATGCAGACTCCACACAGAAAGACCCCAGCCTGATGGTGGAATTGAACTCAGGACGTTCTTGCTGCAACAATGCTAACCACCGTGCTGCCCAATGCGGAATATTTCTCTGTGTTGTCTTTAGCATACTTCAGTCTGACTTCAAGGTGTCTCTAAACAGAAATCAAGTTTTTCTTGATCTGCAAACCAGTTCATTCATTATGTTCAGGATTCTACAGATTTTCTTGTTTAAGACTACAATTCCAGTCTTGGATAAGCCATTCACGAGTTTCTTTGGCTTCCTACCTCCGCCAGGCTCGTTCTGTACTGTGTGGCTGTCGATACTTCTCACTCCAGTTCTTGACACTTGGAAACTCTGTGATACATTTGAATATCCATCTCCTGCTTTGTGAGCGTCATCGGTTCTTTTTCTCAAGTCTAAACTGATTTCCTTTGTTTTCGACATGATACTTTCTAACTAACAGCTCAAACTGTCACTGAAGTTTTGATACTATGTGTAAATTGGAAAATAACACTCATTTTAACTTTACAAAATGTCATCATGGCAGTGGTTTATGCTCTAGCTCAATAAAATGGTCAGTTTTTAGGGGTGGCTAATAATATAGACCTCGGTTATTTTCTAAAAATAGAAATAATTGATCATTTCTAAAGAAAACTATGATTTTTTTTTTTTTTTGTTGGTTTTTTTTAAAGAAAGCCTTTGGAAACATATAGGCAAAAACGAATTTTGTCCTCACCTGTACGTTTGTAAATCACAAGACTGTGAACCTGAAAGCTGTAGTTTATATTCCAGTACTCACCTTTTGGTTTTGGTTTCACTGTCTGTTTGCTTTCACTTGCTGTTAGGTTAGGTTGCGTTCAGGGACCAAATCTACTTGGTTATTTTAGGGGGGAAAACCCACTGGGTTAAGATATACTGATCTTTTGACTTAATGTCAGTATCTGTAGCTGAGCATATGAGGAGGAGTAATGAAAACATGATCACAAACCACAGTGATCGTTAAAAATTCATACTATAATGGATATGTAGTGTTATGGGTGTGGATGTAATCAGAATGCAATTATCATCTCTTTTCAGCTGTAATTACACATAAAATAGTTCACACTTCATTAAATCTTGACTTGTTTAACACAAGCTAATGACATAAATCAACTTAAGTTTTGGCCTCACTAATAAATTGTGAATGCTTTGATCATTATTGTTGTTTAATAGCAGCAATTATTTGCAGTCTGTAAAGCGTTGCCATGTTTTTCCACTCCCTTCCAGTTAATAGCGGAGTGTGAGCAGGTGAAGACGGAGAGAGAGATGGAGCTCATCAACGAGCAAGTGCTCATGGCCATGTGTGAGATGGGCCTGGACCGAGAGCGCACACTTCAGGTGGCGAAAAGTTTCATCTCTACCTTTTTGTTTATTTGTCAAAATAAATAGCACAGCTTATGAATGTCTTGCCTTTTCTTCTTCAGTCTCTACAAACAGATGCATATGATCACTACAGTGCCATCTACAGTCTGCTGGCTGACCGCCTCAAGAAACACAAGAACCTGCGTGTTGCTCAACCCACACTGCGCCCCATTAGCTATCCTCTAAATGCTGTACAGGTGACTCATTACATCAGTGTAGTTTTCTGCAGATTCTGTGTATACAAAATTGTCTTTATATCAACAGATTTTAGGAATAAATTTTAAGCGAGGCACTTGAGCTGTAGATGTAGTAAAGGCGCCTCCTCCATCAGTATATCTTACTGTAGTCCTGGTGTCTGTCCGCTGAATGGTTTTAACCCATATCTGCCAATCACTCTGGGCTAAGAAGATTGTTATCAAATTAGCGCAACCCTTATGACCTCTCTATGTGTGTGTGTGTGTGTGTTTGTGTGTCCCAGCAGACAGACCCACAAGGTAATCCTGTTAGCATAACCGTTCCCCACGTCCAACTCATCAATCCAGAGAACCAGATTGTTGAGGTGAGTTAGCAGTGGAGTCAAGTGGTTGCATCAGCCTGGGAGTAGGTGCGCAGCAGCTTGAAAAGCAAGCTAGAACTAGCTAATTTCTTCATAAACTGCAACAGTGTATATAGTATGATGAGAAATAAGGGGAGTCTCTTTAGACTCTTCAACTGTGTTTTGATTTCAGTTAGTCAGTGCTATGTAGTAAAAATGTGTTCTGTTTTAATAGAAAACACTTATGCATGTTTATATAAACATGGAATGCATTTAAAATGTGAACTTTGTCTTTATTAAGTAACAAATGCACACAAGCATGCAGCACACAGTACCAAAGATCACTTCTGATTACCAAACACTGGCTGTGTGTTTATCTATCGTTCAGCCTGACGGCAGCATGGCTCTGGACAGCGATGAAGGGGAGGAGCCATCTCCTGAGGCCATGGCTCGCTACCTTTCAATGAGGCGGCACACTGTGGGGGTACCAGACCAAAGGTTAGGCATGAACTGACACTGTTTTCACTCACATTATTAGGTATTTGTCTAAAATAGTGCAGCACAATTGCATTCAGATTTGTTGACTGCCAGCTATTTATAGATGAGGTAATATATTTTAGGGTGTGCACATGTGGGTTATTTCAAGCAAATTTAAGTAAGAATGAGGAGCATTAAAGCATAAGTAATTATATTAGCTGCTTTCTCACTAATCTTAAACAATCATCGACTCATTTTATGTCATTTTCTCCGTTTCCCTAACAGGACAGAGATGCAGGAAGATCTCCAGAAGCTGCCACCTGGTTTCCCTCGTGGTGCGCTGCCCCAGCCCCCTTTCATCCCTCTTGCCCCCACTATGGGTCAAATGCACACTCTTATGCCCACACAGAGCCTGCAGCCCACACAGCAGCTGGAATACAAGGTACAGTAAGCTGGGTTAGACCGGATTTCACTTGGTAGCCATCAGCTTACTTTATTTATTTTCCTACTTAATCTGACTTCCTGTGCCTGCTGATCCTCCAGGAGCAATCATTGTTGCAGCCGCCTACCCTCCAACTGCTCAACGGCATGGGGCCTCTGGGTCGAAGAGCTTCCGACGGCGGGGCCAACATTCAGCTACACGCTCAGCTCTTGAAAAGGCCCCGAGGGCCCTCGCCACTTGTCACCAGCCCGGTGAGGATCTGGATTTCTGAATGTAGTCCACCTTGTATGTCGTCCTCCTATGTGCTGAACAGGCGTTGACCAGTAAACTCTTTGCTTCTCTTAGCATCCTATCCCTGCAGTAGCTCCGGTGGATGAGGAGGGTTCAGACGGAGAGCCAGATCAAGAGGCAGTACAGAGGTAACCCACGGTGACGGTTTTTGGTGAAGGGGAATACCGTACAGAGGTGCTGTCTAAATGAGAATCTGTGGAAGTCTCATAACCTGTGACGACAAGTACAAGTACTGAGATCTGGGTCGGCCAAGATATTGAAGTCTAAAGTTTATAGAGGAGGTTTTATAACCAGGTAACTGAATAAAACAAAGTGTAAAAAACCCACATGAATATAGTCATGTAATGACAATTTTATGTTTGACTTAGTTTTTAAAAATAATGTGGAAAAACATTGACATTAGTCTGGGGTAATGATGGGCGCTGGGTTCTTTTATGGAGCTGTTGAGTCTAGGTGAGCTCTTCCCAGGCGATCCTCTTCAGACAGCACCTTCTGTAGACCTCGCTGGTGTCCTGGGTTGCTGGGAGTGAGTGCCTCTGGCTGCTCTGCTTTTTTCCCCCCCCAACGGGAGGTGGCCACTCTGCTGCGGTGCTTATCCCATCTTTTCTCTCTCCATTGCGCAAGTGCCTTCTGCCACAGTCCTAAACTGAATCTGCCACCAGACACAGTGCCTCCTATCACTCATACTCTTTGGCCAAGAGCTTTTCTTTCTCTCTCTCATTTCAGTAAGTGCCAAATTATCCTCTGGACCTTTTCACTCTTTCTCACACAGCTTTGCTAACTCTGAAGCTTGCAAAACCAATGAATACTAAATGGCAACCAGTCCAATCCTAAAATTGGAAGGCTGGGGCGTTGCGGGACACCCATAAGCTATAACATCCATCGACCGGTGTAATTTTTTTGTTTACTGTTTTTTGATTGGCTAAGATGATATTAATCATGGCACCTATTGGCAGAAGTGGAAAGGGGTGGGCCTTCCCTCCCCATCTCCATTAGCCAATGAGGACAGAGAGCTGACCAGCGCTGCTTCCTGTCTCCCACCCTCACCCCCGTCCTCCCCCCCTCCCTGCGGCCCAGGTACCTGGCGAACCGCTCCAAGCGGCACACGACGCACACGCTCATGAGCACATCGCATGGCGAGCCCTCGGCAGAGTCACAGCGGCCCCAAGGCCCCCGTCAGAGGGTGGGCTGGGTCCCCGACACACACACCCGGTGAGGGGACACACCCACTCCGAGCTCTCTATGCACAGACACACACAAACACTGAGACCCATTAAATGAATGGAAAGTTAAGCCCAATTCTTTCTCACACACTGTCACACACACATTCTCATCACTTGCAAACACATCACAAACAACACAAAGGATGTGATCCATACCCACCAATGGAGAGTGATGGTAGAGATGGAGTTTCTGACACAGGGCGCAAATGCTGTATCTTCACATCACCAGTAAACCAGGATTTAGTAGAACTCTTTCATTTTCACAAACCTGGGGGAAGACAGAGAGTTTACCAGATGTTTTTTTTTTTTTTTTTTTTTGGAGGTTTTTGGAGGGTTTTTTTGGAGGTATGAACAACATCTCAGAGCTAAATCACTACATTTGTACATTTTCTCTGCAATAGCAGCCATATTTTACTGTTGTCATGCTGGCAGTTTTAACTGTTGTCCCTTATAGGTGTCATTATCCTCCCCCTCAGCTCAGCAAAACTGAGTGTACTTCTGTATTGTCTAAGCTCTGTACAGAAAAATAACTATATCAGTGTTCAGCTGAAGAGGGGACTTACTGTCATGCACCAATCAGCCACAACATTAAACCCCCACCTCCCAATAGGGTAGGGCTTCCTTCTGCAGGGAAAACAACAGGTCAGCATCTTGGATTATTCTTTGTGCTCCTTGAGCTTCCTTGAGTGTGTTGTCCTTCTTAGGGAGTACCATTGTAACACTGGGTATGTGTGTGGTCTGTTTAGGTGGTTTGGGTGTATGAGATTAAAACCCACTGCAGAAATAAAAACAAATCATCCTAGTAAGATGTTTAATTCCCTTCACCTGTCAGAGGTTTTGATGCTGTGGCTGATTGGTGTATATATATCATCAGTGTTGACCTTAGATAACCTGGCATGAAGATCATCTAATGTGACCAGGCTTACATGGCATGATTTACAGGAAAGGTGAAATTTCGAGGTTTCCTTTGACACATAAGTTCGGGCTCCTTACGCTTTTTACACACTGGACTACGCCTCCATGACAACACCTGAATATGACCATGTTGTGCAGGTTTAAAGTGCTCACATGTCTGTTTCTGTGTCTTATCTCTGTCTGTATGGCTGAATGCGTGTGTCTAATGGTGTACCTATGGTATCTGTCGTGTTACGTCTCGTGTATATGTGTGTGCGTGCACGTGTGTATTTGTGTACACACTTGTCTGTGTCTGCTCCCCATGGCCCCCTTTTCAGATCCAGCTATAAGGACTGTAACACCCTTCATCTGCCCATGGAGCGCTTCTCTCCTGTCAGACGGTTCTCTGACGGGGCTGCCACCATTCAGGCCTTCAAGGCTCACCTAGAGAACAGCAGCCTCATTAAGCAACTCAAGCAGGTACATCACCTTACTTGTACACTTTTAGAGCCATTAACTTGTTTACATCCTTATATTTGTGCGGGAGTTAAAAATATATGGCTTACTTTTACTTTTTAACCAGTTAGAAAACAATCACATTCAAAGATTAAGGATTTTCAGTGAAACCGTATCACTGTTCTTGCTTGGCTAAACAAATCACTGTTTTCCCCTTAGGGTTGATATTATATATATCTATATATCTATATCTCTATATTGTATGCAAAACATGGTTCCCAGAGCAACAGTGCAGAACAGGAAATAGTTTGCAGTCGCTCTGATGCAAGTTTGAATCGCTGGCGAGTACAAACAGATCCCTGACACTGTAAATATGTGCTTTGTTAGCAGTGGAGGACTCTGATGCGATGCATTCAGTCAGATAGTCTTGGCAAGTCATCCATGGGATCTGAACACTGTTGTGACTCCTTGTTGGGAGGACTGTTACTGCACTTATGCTAACTTAATTTCAGTAATCATCAAACCTGAAGTCTGACATTTGCTTCACATCACCTGTCTGTTCTTGCTTCATGTTTTTGGATGACCCCCCCCCACACACACACACACACACAGAGTAGCACAACAATAGACTATCACAATCAAGCAAGACTCATTTAAAAAACACACACACATATCTTTTTTTAACTTGAATTTCTTGTAACATCTGCCTTTTTGCTTTTATGTGCATCACATGGCCAAATCTGTTTGACATGTTTGCACAGGCTGCTGTGATAATGTGCAACAGCTTCATTTTATTGTTTGGTCTTCACACCACTAAGTGTGCGGGGATTCCTGTTAGCCAACTAAAGGTTTTTCTTAAAAGAAAAACAATGTTGGATCCACTGCATCAGCTTTTCTTAAAATGAGACCAAACTGAATCTCTGACCTGACAAAACCCACAACTTTTCTTGAGATGTCGCATCATTTTCAGCAATCCCACAATGAGATTACCTCACCCACTAGGAGGCGTAGGTGGGGAAAGAGATAATGATCAGAATCGGTGGGCGCTTCATGTTGAGCATTCAGGATTAATATTGCTTAGAATAGAGGCACATACATGACCTATGCCTGGGAAAGCACCCGTAAAACTAGATTACAGTAAATTACGTCTCTCTTCGTTGGTCATAAAAGCTGAAACTGAAAAAGCTGGTGTTATCAGGAGGTTGTACTTAAGAAACACTTGGAAAATGTGGTATTTTTGCAACACAATTAATCTTATTAGCTAAATGTGATTGGTATCATTAAACACAGGGTGATCTTAATTATATGAGCACACCTGTGGCAAACAAATCTGAGGTGAAACTGTTGAATGGTTTGGATTTTTGGATTTTTGTTCTAATTACTGGCAAGACTGGTAATTGTTCAAACCTGAGAGCGTGTAGAGTGTGGATACTTGTAATTTTGTGCCTTGTTAGCATGTGTATTAAACACCCTGGGTGCGCGTCTGTGTTTCCAATAGGAGTGTGAGCAGCTCCAGAAAATGTATGCTATCCAGCAGGATGAGAAACTCCTGGAGCACACCCAGCAGCAGCATATCCTGTACCAGCAAGAGCAACAAATCCTCCACCAGCAAATCCAGGTATGTGAAGCTAATGATATGAAGCACTGTGTCTTCACATCAACTTGGGCCACGTTATGAAACTCTTAAGTGGACCTGTTGTGCTCATGTTTAATATGAGCATCCGCCACTGTATTATTATTGTATTCTACTAATTTACTCAGAAAAGGGAGAATTATGTTTTGATTATTGCTGCAATGAGACCTGGGCGTACTGCACTCAATTACTGATGCTCCTGGAAACAAAAGTTGCTTATCTTGTTGAAGGAGAAACACATGTGAGATGAAACTTTATTGATCTGGATCACCTTAGACTTGGCTGCAGTGCATTGTAGCTTCATTTTACTTAATGTGTTTTTTTTGGAGGCATGAGAAGTGTACATGCGTGTTATGCTTTGTCATGTTATGTAGTCTGCCCTGTGAGCCATAATCTGGTTATTTGTCTTTACTTGCAGGGTCTGTCTTTAGGCCATGGAGAAAGCCAGCCCAGTCACCTAACCCACCAGCTTCAGAGGTACACACACACACACACACACACACACACACACACACACACACACACACACACACACACACACACACACACACACATTACTCATCAGCTATTGAACGGTGAACAATGAACCTGATACCGTGGTGCAGCGCTATCGACTGAAGTGTTACATCACTGTCGTATCTCTCTCTTCTCCTCTCCTACTCTGTCCTGTCCTCCCTCAGGTTGCGTATCCAGCCCTCTAGCCCTCCGCCAACACAGCCCAGCAACCACCTCTTCAGACAGCCCAATCAGAGTTCTCCGCCTGGCTCTGCAGGAATAATGCAAGGGCACGGTTAGTAATACTACCGCCGGAGTGCTTAAATGCTTTAGTAGGTGATGTGACTGTACAGAAATGCAGTGATTAAACTGTAAATATAAAACTAACTGGCTTATTCACAGCTCGCTATATATTTATTAGAACATCTATTTTAACATAGAAAGAAAAACCTAATGATCAGCATATTGCATTTCTGATTCAACACATGGTAGTTTGCATCCCAGTGTGCGTAGACTTCAACAAGTAATTATTCTGACTCACTAAAAGATCCAGATCTTCCACATACATTGACATCATTTGTTTTATCCAGATAAAACAAACAATCTCATTTGGAATCTTTAAGTCACTTTGCACTCAAAGCTACGTGGCTAGACACAGTGAAATATTGTTCATGTAGTCTCTGTGCATGAGTGTGATGTTGATCTTAACATATTATACTGCAGGGGTGGGCAACTCCAGCCCTCGAGGGCCGGTGTCCTTCAGGTTTTAGATGTGCCCTTGATCCAACACAGCTGATTCAAATGGCTAAATGACCTCCTCAAGAGGAGGAGAAGTTCTCCAGAGTGTTGGTAACGAACTAATCATGTGACTCAGGTGTGTTGACCCAGGGTGATATATAAAACCTGCAGGACACCAGCCCTCGAAGCCTGGAGTTGCCCACCTGGAGTTATAGTGTGTTAATTTAAACTTGTAATTGCAATCAAAGTATGAATATCTGCACAATACAAACTGATTTCCAATTCTCAGTTCCATGCATTTAACTCGTGACACGACCTGAACGAATAGTGTACAATTTTAATATGGTGTCCGATTGTAAACACTCGTTCGTCAGTATTAATGTAACAGTAAGAGAAAGTTTCCTAATTACATTAAATCTATGCCTGCCTTCAGTGGACACAAGAAGACTTTAGATGCTACAGAGGTCAAATGTTAATGTTATAGTCACAATTCATACTTTATAAGTTAATTAAAATACGGTTTGGGTTTTGCTGTGCAGCTAAAGAGCAGATATTTAATTTAAAAACAAAGCTCTTTATTCATTTCTGGCTTTTGTTCTCTGTACAATAGCACTGCCATGTTCGTTTGTGTGTTCTGAATAATGCAGTAGAAAGCATATAGCTTATGCTGACTCAATGAAAATGTTTCCTCAGGGACAGCAGGTGAGTAAACACCTCAGTCGTCAAGAACAAAATAACATGTGATTAGCGTGATAGGTTAACAGCTGTTTTTATTTTCTCGTTGTGTCATTTGCAGTTTCCAGCTGAAAAGTCTTAAGAGAATTTATTTATTCTATTTAGTTGTATTTTTTATTTTTGGAAATTTTTGCTCAGCTTAAATTTATAAAAAATTTTGATGATTTTGCTCTCATCATTTTCCCCTTCTCTCTCTCTCGTTCTCTTTCAGGTCAATCATCAGTGCAGTACCAACATGGCGCTCCAGCCATGTACCAGGGCCAGAGTGGCAGCCCGCCTCCCACGGGCCTTCCTCGAGTGTCTCTGCAAACCAATCCGCAAGCAGCATCTGCCCGCCCCACTGTCCCATTGGCACAGGGTGTACCTCAACAACAGCAGGTGACTGCAAAGAGCCAATCAAATGTGGGGGTTTTGTCTTCTGAGGAATTCCCTCTAATTCAAAGGTGTCAAACATGAGGCCCAGGGGCCATAATTGGCCTGACAAAGACTTCAGTCCGGCCCACTGGATGGCATTGTAAAATGTAAAGGAATGCACCAGTGCCATTCATACTATACCAAAGTAGCTGGGTAACAGTTAAACTGTTAAATGACAGAAACACTGTTTTATAACTGCAGGAATGTCTGAGCAGTGAGCTACCAGAACATTTTCACTAATCTGACACGTTTATTATACAGAAAAACTGAGACTGCTGTTAAAAATTGCAATTCTGCTTCAACTGGTTTGACCCACTTAAGGTCAAAGTGGGTTGAACATGGCCCACGATGTAAAGAGTTTGGAATCCCTCCTATAACCGAATCAAACATAATATCTGACTTTTTTTTAAATTTTGCTGTCACGAGCTAGAATGTATTTAATTAGTTGTGAAGCGATGCTGCAGTCACTAACGAACACCATCCTTTGTTGTGCAGGTGACCATTCAGGTGCAGGAGGTGGAGCTGGGAGGTGGGGCACAGAGGCAGAGCAACTTTCTGTCCACGCCAGGCGGACACAGAGTCCTCGGGAAGCAGCTCAGCGCAGACAACGCCGAGTCGCACAGGTGACGCTCGCATCATGTCACCACAACCCCCCCCCCTCCCCTGATGGTCGCCAGCAATGGACTGTTTCTGTGTCCTCCTCTTTGCCTTTTAGTTAGATTGCATGAACTCACCACTCTCCCTCTCTCACATTCATTGCATTGTTTTTTTGTTTTGTTTTTTTCTCACTGTATGCTTCTCATTTTTTTGTTTTTGTTGTGTTTTCATTGCTTCCATATTAAATGATTTTTCTACAACTGTATTTTGAAAACTCGTTGCTCTGGACATTGTTCGTAAAAGAGCAGACGTAAGAATTATAACTTTGTTTGAAATGTGTTTAAAATGACTGTAAATCCCTCATCGTCTGTGCTGAGTGGACAGCAACAACAAACTCTCCAGCTCAGTGTATCTGGGTGAGTTTCTGCATGTAAACAGAGCATCAACTCGAGTAGGAGGTCAGTCAAACCTGTGACCACCACCCCTGACTTCATTATCCCATAACTGCCCCTTGTAGCCAGGACTACCTTCACTGAGTGAGCATGTTACAATCTTGAAGTTGCAATCTTTATTAAAAAGCATCCTTTGGAAATATGTTACACCTCTCAGTGAATACTTGAACCTGGAGCAGCGTGTGATGTGTGTTCTAGGCTGTCTCTGTGGATCTTTAGCAGATTGGTGGACGTTAGGTGATGTGTTTGCTGTGTATACAGAGGATTGGGAGTACATTGTTGTTAGACAGCAGGTAGGTAATTACTGTGTGTGTTCCCTCCTGTTTAGCCGCAGCCTTGGCCGCTTCACATCGGGCTACGACCAGGCCCAGTTCAATCCCCACCTCTACTCTGGCGACGCTGCCTCCCGAGGCGCCTCAGGCGTGGTGGGGTCCTACAGCCCCTACCTGCAGGGAGCCTCCCTTAAAGTTCCCGGCCTGGAGGGTTACCAGACCGGGGCGGTGGGGACCAACAACTACGGAGCCCCTTCCACACTACAGCAGGCTCTCCTCTCCCCGACTCCTTTGGACTACCGCCCCCCTCAGCAGCACGTCACTCCCACCCTGCAGGGCCTCCTGTCTCCCCGCCACTCTTTAACAGGACACGCCGATCCCAGACTGCCCCCACAGGACCTGGCTGCCCTGCTGAAAAGGCAGAGCCCCCGGCCATGTCCGGCACCCCCGACACCATCCAGCGGTGCGCCACAAGAGTATGGAGATATGCTGCTTCTCCGCCAGCTAGGCCCAGGAGAAAGCTTGGAACCACAGGCACCTCAGGGTGCCTCTGGAGGGCAACACTACCACCACCTCCTTCAGATCAGACCCCCGGAGGTCCAGCAACAGCAGCAGGCACCGTGCCCCAGCTTACCTCACTCAGAGAGCATGGAGGAGGACGAGGTACCGGCTAGCTACCATCACCCACACGAAGGCCTTCTTGCCAAGACAGGAGAAGGACATGAGCTCCTGGGGCCTCCCCGAGGAGGCACCCCACCCTACACCTCCCCTACACACAGGCATGGTGGCTACATAAGAACTGGCACAGGTAACAGAGGTGAGACCTTACCCCAATTTCAATGCTTTCTCCAAAGATCTGGAATCCAGTGTCTGTCTTAACTGGAATATTTTTTTCCCGCCTTTAAATTCATGTTCTTTTCCTGTATGTTAAAGCCACGAGGTAAACCTGTACAAATATGTCCTTTTCAGAGTCTGAGCATGTGGAGTGCAGGCCTCAAGGACAGGCCATGGAAGTGCCTGATCATAATGGTGTGGGCTACTCGCGAGGCCCCCAGGGGGAGGTTTACAGATCCAGAGGACAGCTGCAGCGCCACCACACCATCCAGACTTGTGATGATGCTTATGTGAGTCAAACACTGCTGCTATGGTTACACACTACATTGATCACTAAGTGTGGGTTCTAGTAGGTTTTTGGGGGTGTTTTTGTTGTTGTTGGGGCTTCTTTTTTTTTTACATTTACATCAGCTTCCAACTAGGTAAAATAAAAACAATTCAGTGTTAAATTCCATCCTGTTGTTTTGGTGGGTCATGGAAAAGGGCTGGCAGAAACAATCACATTTGTATGTCATTTTAATATTGGCTCGATGTCCTTTTGGAGGATATGGGATCTTAGCTCACTTTCTCTGCCAGTGCAGTGCTGGAGAACACCCACTTAGCAGAACGAAGAAAGCGTATGTTTGTTTGTATGACTAAATGAACTAAGAGGGTATCAACACACTGCAAGGATGCTCACAACATCCAAATTCTGACTCACTGTTTCCGCTAGAAGCCGTTTATTAAACACGATTCATTTTTCCTGCCTCTAAACTGTCGTTCGCTTCCTGTTCCAGGATCAGGCAGACCCCATGTCTGGGATGAGCTTGCTGGCTGGGAAGGCGCTAAGCTCCGCTCGCATGTCGGACATTCTCAGCCAGACATCGCTGACAGGAAGCCAGCAGCTACACCAGCGGGAAGAATCGGGTCAGTATGAGACCTGTAGTTACCCCAAAAACAGTATTCTCTGTTTCCTCATCAGTTAAAGATTTGTGTTTCCCATGCAGTGTGCGACGTTGAAGGGGAGCTCCATGCGGCAGCCTGCTATCCCTCCTCCTGCACCAGTGACATGCTCCTTAGCTACAAGCCCCCTGACCTGCAGTACAGCATGGAGCAGGCTGGGGTCTAGCACAGGTACACACAGTGAATGTGAAGTCAACCTTAAAGTCTGTGTGAAGCCTCAAACATCACTTCTTTAATCTTAAATACTTGATAACAACTGATGTAGATTTTGGTATATCAGCAGCAAAATGATTGAGGACATTGTTTCTTGTTTCCCTCTGTCTTCCTGCAGGAAGCGGTGTATCCTGTGTCCATCGGTCCATATCAGCCATCCTGAGTTGTGTTGACTTGAGTTGTGCAGCATCACGCCAAACCATCGTCGTCTGCCCAAGCAGGGGTGCTTCTGTGTCCATCTGTCTGTCTCCATCTGTCCCCTGGGAGGGCAGTTTGCGCGAGAGAGGGTGTGGGTGTATGTGGTGGGTGGGTGTAGACATTAGAGGGGTGAGGGTCTCAGGTGGAGCCTCGGGGTTCAAAGGTCAAAGTGCCAGCATTTTCTGCACAGACATCCAGCATTCATTCCCGCAGGTCGTCTCCTCTTCGCAGCTCCCGCCGTGGGTAGACTGGGGCTCCGCTCTTCCCTTTTTCATCTCGACCCCACCCGCCTTTCCCCTCTTCCCCCCTATCTACAAATCTGGCCCGCCCAGCTCACCCCACACCCACCTTGTAGCCGCCTGACCCAAACCTCCCCTTTTCTCTGTCGGCATACTTCATTATGTGCCTCACTGGCCGATGCATCGATACAGTAATACTTGCAAGAACGTCGAGTTCAGCGACACAAAGAAACGTCCACACTGCTGCCACAAACCCAAAGTATTCACATTAGGTGCGACTGCGTGTGTGTGTGTTTGTGTGTGTGAATGAATGAGAGGGGTGAGCCGAGGGTGTCTATGAATTTCAGTCTGCTCCTCCCCTCTCCCCTCTCCTCCTGCTGTCCTGCAGCAGATCATTCCAGAGCGGGCTGAAACCTCAGCGGTGGCCGCCCCCTCACCCGGCCAGGCGGCGGGCGTTTTGGGTCAGGCTCCCAAATGGGCAACAAAAGCGCTCTATCCAAAGATGGAGCTCAGTGACATCGCACAGGACAAACCAGCTCTAATTGTTTTGTTATTTTTCTGGCTTCATTTCTTCTATTGTTTTACTTTTTGTTTCTTTTTTTAAATTTTATTTTATTTTAAAATTCATTTTTACAGCTAATGTCCACGTTGGCATTATGTTCGATATTGTTACTCTTATTGTTATTACTGTTTTTCTGTAAAAGAAGTTTTACTATGATGATTGTTATCATTATTATTATTATTATTATTATTATTATTATTATTATTAAAGGAAACGGTTCTGTGTTACAAGGAATACAAACTTTGTTCTTTGACTTAAGTAATTCAGCACTTTCGGTTCCAGCTTTCCTCCGTCAGCTTCCACCCTTCATCGCGGTTCCTCGCTCTCTGCCATACTGTCAGCTTGGTTTTCAATCCAGCCTCCCAATCCCCTCCAACCTCTAAACTTTCCCCACTTTGTGTTCCCCCCCCCTCCTCCCCCCACGTCAGTGACGGTGTATTGCATTGTGGGTAGTTTTACCAGACATTTTGCTCCTTTCCTTGTACAGTGATGCCATGTATAGAACGCTATTGCAAATTTCTGTATCTAAACTTTAGTTTCTGTTCTGTTTTTGTTTTTAGATGATGTTGGGGAGGCTTTATTTTTCTTCTTTTTTTAAAAAGTATATTGGTATTGTTTATCATTTGTATTTGTATTTTTTTTTTGATGTCTTGAGAAAAAATGTTTTCTTCTTGTTTTATGAATCTTGAGATTTCTAGCCAAAAGAGGACAGAGAGAAGAGAGACGGTGCTCTTCCTGCGTCGTTAAAAAAAGCGATTGTTCTTATTTGTTTTAATGTTATTATGATATCGAGACACTTGAATAAGAGGAGAGTAATTATTTTGTGTTGCTTTTTAAAGTATCATTTCAATCGATGTTGTTGTGACTGTCATTCTCGTTGATGTTGGGGGGCCTGTTTTCTGTTAACGGGCTAGTTGTGGCAGGCTTTACAGGGTCAGGCTTTCGGGCTTTTGTCTGGGTTGGTTCGGGTGCTACTTGACTTGATGCTCTTAAAGGAAAAACAAAACAAACTACAAAAAAGACAAAAAAATGAGGGAATATCTTGTAAAATAGCTGACATATCATCCAAAAAAGAAACATCACAAGTGTGGTCACGGATAAACCCACTTCTATTTCTCCCTCTTGCTGCCCTACCTACCAGTCTGCTGTGATCCTCCCCGCCATCTTTTACTATGTCGGCTTCTGATCAGACGGCGCCTTACAGACTTGGCCCCCTCCTCCCAGGCTAACAATGTTACCACCAAGGAGGACACTGCAGCTGCGGCTCACCCCCCACACGTTCCCCTCTTTTGGATTCATTTGTGATTTTGTTTCACTCTAACCCCGGGTGGAGGTGATGGCTGCATGAACAGTTTGGATACACCTGGACATCCCTCCGAACTGTAAAAGGGAAAATGTATAAGGAGGTAACCATAGGAATGAATTATTTGGATTCTCCAAAAAAAAAGGAAAGGTGTGGTCAGAGCTGAGCTGGGAAGGGTACGCCCACCTTTACGCTAGTCTCCCAAGGTGCGTGCCCTGCAGCACACTGGGGACCACAGCAGAGGACTGCACCTCCCTTTTCTTCCTCTTTGTTTTTCAAATTTGGTTTGTTCTGTATCTATCCTCTCATAAATCAATACTCAATATTGGGCCAGCAAGTGGACTGCGGCGCAAAACAATCGAGCTCCACTTGTGTGCTTGTACAAGGGAGACGCCGCAGAACATTGCTGCGCTGGTCTCCATATTGTACGCTATATACGCCCGAGAACTGTAGGTGGTGTCATGCAGCGCTTGCGCTTTCCATTTGCAGCATGTCACTTCCTGTTTACTGACATTCGCTTTTATTCAGGCCCGCGGTTCCTTCTTAGCAGTTGTATCTCTAAAACAAAGTGTACACACAGATGTGAACAGGGAAGCTGATGTGCATGCTGTTCCTTCCAAACCGTGTTTTAATTGGACAGAAGACAACCTTCCAATCTAACTCGAGAGTTTCCTCCAGATCTCAGTCGTTCCTCTTTCAGATCTGACCTCCTGTTATTTTTGTTTTTTTCCTCATTGTTTACACCAAGCCAAAATCAAGAACTGAAGGGGAAAGGATTGAGTATGGAAAAGGGAAATAATGGGGATGGAAGATGCATCTCTCGTCCCATTGGCTGGACAAGAGACGCAACTCCAGAAGTTCCTCTTGTTGTTTGCGTTGTGTCCAGTTCCAGAGCTGTATGTAAAGGTCGAGGGGGAGCACACTGGAATGGAAAGCACAGCACTGAGCTGAATCGCACACATCTGCCTGATCAGAATGATCTTTCCTCTTTTTTGTTTTATTTTAATTTGTGTATCAACTCTTCCATCCCTGACTTCCATCTTCTCTCTCCATCCCAGCAAGCCAGCTCTCTGCTCCACTCCTGTTTCTTAGGTTCATTTTGTTTTCTATTGGTTCTTTTTTTGTCTACTTTTTTGTTGTTTTTATTTTTCTTTTTTGTTGAGTACAAAAATACTAAAGTGCAACAACAATGATTAAAAAGAATATCAACCAAACTGAGATGAATAAATAAATATATATAAATAAAGAAATAATTTAAAAAGGTTGACCAGTGTGTCTTTGTTGTACCTGCTCGCACGAAACTTGTGAATCAAGTGAAATTTCTTGTGCCCGAATTACAACATCGTGACTGTAGGGTCAAGAGTGATTTGGCCAAACGTTGACATGACCAGACAAGGTTTGAAGACACTCTAGTGTAGGCTGCACACTCAGTTTCTTCCTACTAATATTTTTCATGCACTACATAGTTCTTGTTCCTCAAGGACATCCCTGTTACTCCTCACAGCTTGATGCCGCCATTGTGCTTCACTGTAGGGAGGGCATTAGCAGAGCAGTGCAGTTTGGCTCTAGCACAAAGTAGACTGTCTATTTTTATCCAAGAGAGGCCTACTCCTCCATATGCAGCTGATTAAGTGTAACTGAGACAGCCATCTTCACCACTGTGTCTTTGGGCTGCTGAGGGCTGAAGCTGTGTCAAAGGGACGATGGGGTTCTTGGTCTCCTCCCTTACCAAGGCCTTAATTGCAAAAGCTACTCAACCCTATTAAGAGATCTGCTAGTTCCAAATTTCTGTCAGTTTTGTCAGTTGTTGAAGGGATTTCAGTGAGACCGTGGAACAAGACTTTTGATTGACCTCAATTGAAACTGGTATTCCACACACACACTATTTAGAGTGGTGGGATGCTGCTGACCTCAACTGAGGATTTAGTCAAGTGGTGGAAAGAACACTTTGAGGACCTCCTCAATCCTATAGTCACGCCTTCTATCATTAAAGCAGAGTCTGGGGAGGAAGGGGATGACTCACCCATCACTGATGTGGTTACTGCACAGTGGCAGGGCCCCTGGGTTGGTCTTGGAACACCGGACCAGTTCTTTATCCTCTCAAGAATATTTGAGGGTGTGTGGGAGTTTGTCCAGCAAGTCTACATGTGTTTCTGTGGACCTGGACAAGTTATTTGACTAGGTCCCTCAGGGTATAATGGGGGGGGGGAGTTGCTTTGACAGACTGATAGGGGCGGCGTCCGCAATAATGTGGATGCTGAACTGATATGTTATATTGAAACGAGAGCTGAGAATAAAAACAAAACTGTCAAAATACCAGTCGGTCTACGTTCCTGTCATCACCTATGGTCATGAGCTCTGGGTGAGTTTGCAGATACAAGCAGCAGAAATTAATTTCCTTCGAAGAGTGTCCGGGGTTTCAGCTTAGAGTCATTCAAGAGGGACTCAGAGTTGATGTTCTTCCACATCGAACTCCACTAATATATCTCATGGATGCCTCCTAGGTGAGGCATTCTGGGCATATCTTACTGAGAGGAGGCCCCAGACCCAGGACTGGAGAGATTATATCTCTCAACTGGCTTGGCTTGTTATTCCAGCTGGATGAGATGGCTGGGGTGAGGAAAGTGTGGGCTTCTCTGCTCAGACTTCTACCCCCATGATCCAAACCTAGATAAGCGTCAGAGAATCAATGGTTGGATGGAATCTTGCAGAAGTCCATGGAACTGACTTGTAAGTCCTCAGCATTTATTTTTAAACAGCTGTCTTTACGGACTACATCAAATGCCAGTTTACCAAACGAGAATGCCAATCAAATTGTCAGCTCAAGAACTAATTACCTGAATAATAACTAAAGCAAACAGGATTAGATATTTGAGTGATGACACTATAAGATCTTCAAGTTATTCCAATACTGAAATATGTGCAATAAGACATCCTGCCTTCAGTTTGACAACGGCTCATTTGAAGTCTTGGAAATTGCTAATGATGTCATATCACTGCAGCCTGGAAATAAACAGAAACCTACAGGTTTCAAGAGAGAAGCAAATACATAAGACAAAGCGCAAAAATCGTCACTTTGACAGGTAATGCAGATCAGACTTGTTGTAGGTCTGTCTGTTTGATTATGCTTGTGAAGTAACCGAGCACATTCCTTTTATTAATGGCGTCCAGGTGAATGGTGCGTTTCACTAAGCAGTCTTGTCAGCTGGGTGAGTGTAGAAGTGTGTTGACACGGTTTACACAGCTGTCTGTACACACTGAAACGTTCTGTTTATATTAATAATAATAATAATGGATTGCATTTATATAGTGCTTTTCAGGACCCCTCAAACCCCTTTACAATACCACTATTCATTCACATTCACACACTGGTGGAAGCAAGCTAAAGTTGTAGCCACAGCTGCCCTGGGGCAGACTGACAGAAGCGAGGCTGCCATATTGCGCCATCAGCCCCTCTGGCCATCACCAGTAGGCGGTAGGTGAAGCGTCTTGGCCAAGGACACAATGACCGAGGCTGTCCGAGCCGGGAACCTTCTGATTACAAGACAAACACCCAACTCTTGAGCCACGATAGTCCTAAACTCTAAATGTTTCCTAACCTCTAAATGTTTCCTAACCCTCTACTATGCAATCACACAGATGACTGAACTGGAGAAAAGAGCACACAGAGAGGCGTTTCCACTGAATGAATAACAGCTGCACAATTAAATCAGTGACTTCTTTACTGAGAATTAGGCTGCTGTACCCTTAAGATGAATAAGTTCTCATTATAAGTCACAGGTTGATGACACAATGGAAACATAGCCCCCTACTGTATGAGCTTGTTTCTTTTGTCTGCCTTCTGGCTGCAGTGCTCTGCATGCTGCTGCTCTGATCTGTGCAGCTGCACTGCAGAGGCTTTTCAGTCGGTGGTATCCGAGCGCTGACTTGTCATGTGTCTGTGTTTGTAGAACATGGGTTCACTTTAACATGCCTAATGATGGAACTGGGTGATGGATGACAGGAAATGATGTGTTAATCCCTAGGAACTGACAGTTTTCTGGCTTTACTCGACGCTGCATCCTTGTCTCCTCCCCCATACCATCACTTTCTCTTTCTTCCCTCATGACTCTGTGCCCGCTCTCTTCTTCCTTACTACGCTTCTCTCTCTACATCATTCTTCTTTCTCCTATTCTCCCACCCTCCCCTCCCTTCTGCTCTCCTCTCCTCCGAGTGGCGACACTGTGACTGCCTGCGTCAGCCAGCCTTTGCCAGCTAGTGAAAGCTGCTACTGGAGGTTGCCGTATCCTGCAGAGATCCCTGTGT